GTACTTTATTTTTTTTTAGATAATTACAATAGTATTTTGTCAACCTTGCTTTCACGATTCAAAAATTAGTTTATGTGTGCTTATTGTTCACAGGTTTGGTGACTGGAGACAGCATTGAGCCAGATAAAGGGACAGAAAAAAACTCTAAAGAAACAGAAACTGTCAAGCTGAGCTGCTCATGTAGTACAAGTAGTGATTATACTTATCTTTACTGGTTCAGACAGTATCCTAATGGAGAACCACAATATCTATTAAACAAAAACGTACGGTCCGCGAGTGATGCACACACCTCTGATCCTCGGTTTCAGTCGATTGCATCACGTACATCCACTGAACTCACTATTACTGATGTACGTCTGTCAGATTCAGCTCTCTATTATTGTGCTCTAAGAGTAGCAGCCCAGTGATACAAAACATGAAGAATGGCATACAAAAACCTGAAGCTCTTTTCCCTTTGAACTTATCTAGTGAAAACCACAATCAAAACCACAATCTATCCAGACCTGAATGTAATAAAAAAAAAAACATGGTAACACCTGCGTTGAGGCTTGTTATAAAACTTTAAATAAACATTAAGTTCAGATATCATGAGAATTAAAGCACCTTAATTAATTATAATGTGGAATTAATATGGAAATCAGTACTAACACAGCCAGAAAATTTATTTTGAGTTTATGGGCACAAAAGGTTTGTCTACCCTTGTCCACCACAACAAAGGAAGAAATAAACTATGAGCCAAGTTAGAGGGAGGAGTCAAAGAAACCTCATCAAGCAAACTCAGTAGCTCAAGTGATCTTGCACGTTACAGTATTTACAGTCACTCTATAAAAGACTAGATCAGCGGTGAGAACAAGATCTGGATTTAGATGATACTTGAGTCTTAAAGCAGGAAAAATGACACACTGGATAAAACAAACTATTATTGTTTTCATTTATGTCTGGCGTAAGTAATATTTTTGTGAGTATTCTTTTCAGTACGCTACCAAGTAATTTTGAATGTTTATCATTTGCTGATGTTCTTCATGATTTGCTTCTACAGGAATAGAATCACAGGACAGCATTGAGCAGAAAACAAGAGTTCAGACTGCTTATGAAGGTGGAACTGTAATAATCAACTGTACATATCAAACTTCATACGGCCCGACTCTCTTTTGGTATCAGCAAAAAGTAAACAGAGTCCCTAAATATATGCTCAACAGAGTTGGTAAGACTGGAGATGAAGACAAAGAGTTTAAAGACCGATTTAATGCACATATCGACACATCTTCAAAATCAGTTCCACTGACAATCAAGGATGTGCGTGTGTCTGACTCTGCTGTGTACTACTGTGCTCTGAGGCCCACAGTGACTGAAACACACTCAACGCTCACACAAGAACCTTCATTATTCAGTCAGTTCTGATGGTTGTAGCTTTTTCTAAATGTAAATGAATGGATTATCTTGGTTGGTCAATCATCTACTTCTTATTTTTTTGTTGTTTTTGAATTGTTATTTCTCTGTTTCTTTGTTCTGGAGATGTCAAACTCTTACTTTTCAAATGTGGTTAGAACGTCAAAATTCCTAAGTGATATTTAATCTACCACAGAATAGAATGTGTTAGCTTAAGCATCAAAAACCATTCTGACTTTTAAACATAAGATTAAAAACTGACTGATGTGCTACTGAAGAAACTTTAAGACAGATATAAATATATTGTCATTATACAGTAGCATAATCAGTATGCTAGTCAGATCAGTATCATTTGCTGATATGAGATGTTGAAATCGCTCTGCATTCCAGGGATTTATTAAATTAAATTACTCTCTCATAACAAAATATTCTAATTGTGTTCATATTTATCATAAAAAACACAGATTGAGTGCAACCAAACTTAAGAACTAAAAGACATAATTTCATGCATGTCCCGACTAGCCGGTTTTAGTCATTCATTCATGAACCATGTGAACAGGATTCACAGTAAACGGCATTCAATGGTAAACAGACATCTAAATGGCTGCTTATAAACACTTGTCTGATGATTGACAGGACAGAATGATCAGGCTCCCCAAAACTTACATTTAGAACTTCATTATGTACATGCGGCTCAGTCAGTATCAGCTTTATCCCTAATTTTCTTTCCATGCACTCTTCAAAACTTCTTAGAACACCTCTTAGAGAAGTATTTTCAGGTAAACATAGATGGGTGTTAAACTATTTCTCTTTATCTCTGACACATGAAAATAGATTTCAAAATTTAAAAAAAATGTTCAGTTACTTTGAATTGTATGGTTTTTCAATTTCTGTACCTGAACCTGTTCTATTTTTGTGCTATAGGCCTATATTTAATTGTGCTATTACTTGTAATTTGTTAATTTGTTCTTATTTACTGGCTGTCACTTGTCTTTAATAATGTTTAAACTTTTTATTTATGTTTATTTTGGCTAGTGATTTTTGCTGTGGTATCGAAATTGAACTAAATATATGCTCAACAGAGTTGGTAAGACTGGAGATGAAGACAAAGAGTTTAAAGACCGATTTAATGCACATATCGACACATCTTCAAAATCAGTTCCACTGACAATCAAGGATGTGCGTGTGTCTGACTCTGCTGTGTACTACTGTGCTCTGAGGCCCACAGTGACTGAAACACACTCAACGCTCACACAAGAACCTTCATTATTCAGTCAGTTCTGATGGTTGTAGCTTTTTCTAAATGTAAATGAATGGATTATCTTGGTTGGTCAATCATCTACTTCTTATTTTTTTGTTGTTTTTGAATTGTTATTTCTCTGTTTCTTTGTTCTGGAGATGTCAAACTCTTACTTTTCAAATGTGGTTAGAACGTCAAAATTCCTAAGTGATATTTAATCTACCACAGAATAGAATGTGTTAGCTTAAGCATCAAAAACCATTCTGACTTTTAAACATAAGATTAAAAACTGACTGATGTGCTACTGAAGAAACTTTAAGACAGATATAAATATATTGTCATTATACAGTAGCATAATCAGTATGCTAGTCAGATCAGTATCATTTGCTGATATGAGATGTTGAAATCGCTCTGCATTCCAGGGATTTATTAAATTAAATTACTCTCTCATAACAAAATATTCTAATTGTGTTCATATTTATCATAAAAAACACAGATTGAGTGCAACCAAACTTAAGAACTAAAAGACATAATTTCATGCATGTCCCGACTAGCCGGTTTTAGTCATTCATTCATGAACCATGTGAACAGGATTCACAGTAAACGGCATTCAATGGTAAACAGACATCTAAATGGCTGCTTATAAACACTTGTCTGATGATTGACAGGACAGAATGATCAGGCTCCCCAAAACTTACATTTAGAACTTCATTATGTACATGCGGCTCAGTCAGTATCAGCTTTATCCCTAATTTTCTTTCCATGCACTCTTCAAAACTTCTTAGAACACCTCTTAGAGAAGTATTTTCAGGTAAACATAGATGGGTGTTAAACTATTTCTCTTTATCTCTGACACATGAAAATAGATTTCAAAATTTAAAAAAAATGTTCAGTTACTTTGAATTGTATGGTTTTTCAATTTCTGTACCTGAACCTGTTCTATTTTTGTGCTATAGGCCTATATTTAATTGTGCTATTACTTGTAATTTGTTAATTTGTTCTTATTTACTGGCTGTCACTTGTCTTTAATAATGTTTAAACTTTTTATTTATGTTTATTTTGGCTAGTGATTTTTGCTGTGGTATCGAAATTGAAATAGAGAATTGTAAAATGTAATTGGTATCTAAAATATTGGTGTCATATAAGCTTATTTATTAGAATACAAGATAACAGATCAAAAACAATGATAACAGAAACTATTTTATTTTTTTGTGGCAGGGCCAGTAAAGTTGTAAAGTTGTCTTTACTGATATACAACATTTAACTTAAGACAAATGTTTGCAGATGTGACAGCTGTGGACAAAATTGAGCCAAATAAAGGGACGAGCATCATCAAAACAGAAGGAGAGTCTGTAACGCTGAGCTGCTCATATGATTCAGACAGTGAAAATGTACGACTGTACTGGTACAGACAATATCCTAATGGAGAACCTCAATATTTATTACGTGAAGGAGCACGATCAAACAGTGCTAAGCACAGCTCTGATCCTCGATTCCAGTCAAGCACTTCTCGCATGTTGACTGAACTCATTATTAGCAGTGTGACTGTGTCAGATTCAGCTCTTTATTACTGCGCTTTAAGAGTTGAAGTCCATAAAAGTCGTATAAAAACTACAAGCCATTTTCACTTTGAAGCTCTTATTATGAAAATCAAATCAAAACCTGTGAGATAATAACAGCAAACATGTTCGTGAGGTTGAGGGAGGAATTTTTTTTATAAAAGGAATAAAGCTGCAAAAAGATTTTTTCAGAAAGTTAAAAATACTCAAAAGTGTTTGATACACTACAACATTGTAACAAATTTATATTGTGCAAATTATACTGAAAATGTAAACGTATATACAGTATTTAAAATAATGTAACAGAAAACATAACCTTGTAAATAAAAATGACATATTTTTTAGGTTTTCATTACTTAATATTCCCATGCTAATAAATATGAGGTAACTGGCAAAGTGAAAAACATAGGCATCAAATATTTAAGCCATTATAGCCTTAAAAGCCTTGGGGGTAAAGGCCAGTGTAAGGTGTGCAGTATATTTCATTGGCCGATAGTTGGCTTTATACTGGCACTTATTGAGTTGAATTTTTTTTTGCTCTTTGTAGAAATACTACATGGCCAATGCACCATCATCAGCACTGTTTTGTGCACAGTGTGGAATCTAAACTCCATCAAAATGGTTTAAATAGCATGCTCCTCATGGTGCTTTTGATGTAAACACTCATGCAAATCTTTATATGTACTACATTCTCTAATTCTCTAATAAAGTAGTGTAGTTATCTAGCACAGTTAAATGACAATCATGAACCTTTGCAGGAAGTTCAGAGAGGAGGAAGTTCCTATATGTGTGTTTGTGACTGATCTGCAGTGACTTACAGCTCAGAGCACTGAGAGCCTCAACAGAGAACTGAGCTGATCTGATTGAACATGGACAGATGCTTCATACTGATTCTCATTTTGGGAACAGGTACATTATTTATTAATTAATTAAATTCTGTACATAAATATTTATGTCTTCAAATCTCAAACCACAAAGGCTATTAAAATTGCTTTAGTCATTTGTATTTTTGTAAAACATGACCAGAAATGTGTTTGCAATATTATTTTATCAACTTTGCTTTCACCAAATCAAAAATCAGCTCATATGTTCTTATTGTTGACAGGTTTGGTGGCTGGAGACAGCATTGAGCCAGATAAAGGGACAGAAAAAACCTCTAAAGAAACAGAAACTGTCAAGCTGAGCTGCTCATGTAGTACAAGTAGTGAATATGTTCGGCTTTACTGGTACAGACAGTATCACAACAGAGAACCACAGTTCTTATTATACAAAAATGAAAGGTCAGATTATGAAGACACCTCTGATGATCGGTTTCATTCAGCTGCATCACGTACATCCACTGAACTCACTATTACTGATGTACGTCTGTCAGATTCAGCTCTCTATTATTGTGCTCTAAGAGTAGCAGCCCAGTGATACAAATTATGAAACATGCCGTACAAAAACCTGAAGCTCTTTTCACTTTGAACCTATCTAGTGAAAACCACAATCTATAATAAAATATGTGGTCACACCTGTGAGGTTGAATCAGGCCTGTTAAAAAAATTCCAAGATCTTCTTTGGAGCTTCTTGTTACATCTCAAATCAAGTCTTCGAAATAGAATGATACATAGAGACAAAGACTAAGAGAGCAACTGTAAACTGTATAGCTGTGATTAATATTTATAGTAGATTTAATAGGTAAATAATCTGATAAAAAGCTTCCGAATCCAAGTCTACATGTGCAAAACTACAAATTAAAAGTAATTTAAACAAATATGAAATTCAAAGTTATTTGTTAATTATAATTGTTAATTACATAAAATACATACAAAAGTAGTCCATACACTCTTAAAAATAAAGGTGCTTCAAAAGGTTCTTCAAGCGATGCCATAGAAGAACCATTTTTGGTTCCACAAAGAACCATTCAGTCAAAGGTTCTTTAAAGAACCATCTCTTTCTTACCTTTTTATAATCTGAAGAACCTTCTTTCGCCCCAAAGAACCTTTTGTGAAACAGAAAGGTTCTCCAGATGTTAAAGGTTCTTTATGGAACCATTTAGACAAAAAGGTTCTTCTATGGCATCGTGAAGCACCTTTATTTTTAAGAGTGTAGTGTAAGTTCTAATGCATTATCATGTGTAACACATTATGCTGGTATAATGTGCCACAAGGTGGCAGTGTTCTCAGACATTCACTAGGAACTACAGCAATGAACAACAAAACTGAATTTACCGAACAGAACTTATAGGTAATGTGGCTCAGAGAGGAGGGACTCAGTGTTCATGGATCTGACATGATCTAATTATGTCTGACAGAGACTTTGGTAGAAACTATTCAGTCTGACTCTTCTCAGGAGTGAACACTTGTACAATGGATCTTCATTCAGTTATTCTGTTCTGTGCCTTAGCAGGTGTGTATTTATTTGATTAATTATTATAATTTTTTTAAGTTTTCTTTAAATCTCTAAAAAGTTACAAATGTACTTATACAAATGTTTTCTTTTTCAGCTGTTGTCTTTGGAAATGTCATCAAACCAAACAAAACTGATATTGTTTATGAAGAGGGTTCAGATATTACATTGTCCTGTAGTCAATCACCTGGAGCTTCAGATTATATCTACTGGTACCGTCAGTATGAAAGATCAAAACCTGAATTTCTTGTACTCACCTATGGTAGTGCAAAAGAAGCTGCGGTGTCTGAGGTAGATCCAAGATTCTCTGTTAAAGTTGAAAAAAGGGAACAAATCCATGTGGATCTGAAGATCTCCTCTGCTGCTGTATCAGACTCTGCTCTGTACTACTGTGCTCTGAGGCCCACAGTCACAGGAAACACATCAGCTCTCTACAAAAACCTGTTACAATGAGAGACAGGAGTAAAAAGACAGCAAGAAATAATGCAAATGAACGTTAAATTATCTCAAATGATTCTCATGTGTAATACAGTATATAGTGCATACTGTACATTCACATGGAGTTCCTGCTTGTTCCAAATTCTGATTACATTTTAAACAAATAAAATAGCTAGACTATAAATACTAAATATTCTTCATATTTTCATCAGTCAAAATGAAAATGATAAATGCGAAGACATCAAGTATTTAGGCCATGCCTTTATAAAGCAGGAAGTTCTTGTGTGTGTTTGTGACTGATCTGCAGTGACTTACAGCTCAGAGCACTGAGAGCCTCAACAGAGAACAGAGCTGATCTGATTGAACATGGACAGATGCTTTATACTGATTCCCATTGTGGGAACAGGTACAGTATTTGTGGAAGTGGAAACAAATGAAGGTGTATTTAAGTGATGTTTACATGATGTTTTAAAACTTCAAACTCTAAATGTTTTATTTATTTCATAAAAATGCTGTGAAAAGTTTTTGAGATATTATTTTGTCAACCTTTCACATTTCAAATTTGTTCATATGTGTTTATTGTTAACAGGTTTGGTGGCTGGAGACAACATTGACATTGACAGAAATAATCACTAAAGAAAGGGAAATTGTCAAGTTGAGCTGCTCATATAATACAAGTAGCAATTACGTTTGGCTTTTCTGGTATGAACAGTATCTGAAGAGAGAACCCCAGTATTTATTACAAAGAGGTGACTTGACTTAAACTTGAGATGCCACATATGCAATATACTTGCAGCGAACCAGAAGAGGACAGTAGGTGCACAATATTACATTTAATAATATGGCAGCTTTCATTGGTCTCCACAAGCTCCTCCTTGGATTATCATTATAATAACAAAAGCAAAACTGACATATTCACTGATTTATCTGGACGTCAGCATAGACACAGTCAAGTCACACAGGTTGATGAATATATTTCTCTTCACACTATTCATTCTTGGTATGAATTTCAATTTAATACAGCTGCATATTAATGTAAGTTGTTTACATTTTGTATTGTAATGTAGATTACATATTCTTAAACCTTCACAGAGTGCAGATCAGAGGAAACAAACATGTGACTGAAGTTGAAGGAAGATCAGTAGAATTAAAGTATAATTATAAAACAGATTCAACACAAGAAGATTTATTCTGGTACATCCAGAGAGCAAATGACTTTCCTAAATATATCCTGAAGAGAAGCAAATATGGAGAAGATAATGGCACTGAGTTCCAACAGAGATTTTCACGCTTTCAGCAGATTCAGTTCCACTGACAATCAAGAATCTGCATTCGTCTGACTCTGCTGTGTACTATTGTGCTCTGAGGCCCATAGTGAGAAAACTCAAGTCAAACCACATACAAAAACACGAGACATAAACACACAAGATCATTTCTTCACAATAAGCATTTTTTTAATTTACAAGCTATAATAAAGTCATACTGAATGTAATAGTCAAATAAACAACAATAACAATCATGCAATCAATTTAATATTGTCTATCCATTCTACAAGCTGCTTATCCTCTGTAGGGTCAAAGCAATGTAATATTGTATTGATAATAATTTTATTTAATTGCATGATTTCAACTTAATTTGAATTATGTAAAAGCATTTTTTTGTATTTAAAGTCATACTGAAGGTAACAGTCAAATGAACTACAATAATAATCATGCAATCAATTTTAAATTATCCACCCATCCATTCCTCAAACTGCTTATTCCCTGTAAGGTCACAGAAATTAAATATAACTGTACTGATTTTAATTTAATCAATTGCATGATTTCAATGTAATTTTAATAATGTCATAGTGTTTTCTTGATTTAAAGGCTGTACATATTAGAATTGTCTAGCAAACACATGAACAATTGGATTATGATGCATGATGGAAACTGAAATATGTGTTTCATCTGTTTTTGTTTTAAAGAATTATTAAATTAGAATTTATTTGTAACTTAACACTGATGGACAGATAAATGTGTTTCACATTATGCATGCTACACTGTAGTGAGCCAGGCCCAAAACAAGATTATAAATATTTCTGAATCTAATTAAAAAGGGGTTATATGATGCGATTTCAATTTGTTCTTTCTCTTTGGAGTGTTACAAGCTCTTGGTGCATAAAGAAGATCTGTAAAGTTGCAAAGACTAAAGTCTCAAATCCAAAGAGATATTCTTTATAAAAGTTAAGAGTCAGCCACGCCTACCTAAAACGGCTCATTCTAGCATGCCCCCACATGCCTACGTCACTGTGTGGGAAGATCTGCATAACACCACCCAAATGTTCACGCAGAGAAAGAAGGCGTAACTTTTATTCTCGCTGTAGTATTGTTGTTGCCGCCGGCGCCATGTCGTGGAGGCGCTGTGTGTTTCGTTGTGAAAGCGAAACTACTTTGTTTGGCCTTCCAAAAGAGGACGATATCTGCTTCGTCATGCCTAGAGCTGATCTGTGCTGGTCGCTGAGGAAATACATCAACTTTGCGCTGTGGATCGCCGGATCGGCTTTCACCATGGACGAAGAGGAGTCCAGCCCGAGGTCGTCACATGTGGTTGCCGCAAACCCGCCGGCCGCTCCTTCGTCGAATCCGCCGGCCGTGATGTTCTCAAGACTGCCGGCTGTTCCTCACTCTAGCCCGCAGTGTGTGATGCTGTGTGACGCATTGGACTGTTTCCTGAACCTGCAGACTAGCCTACAATGGGTCTGTGCTCAAAGGCTGTTCTATAAAGTGGGGCAGTTCCAACTTTGCAAGGACAGTCTGGCGCTTCTGACTCACAGCCTGTAAGTACATTTTTTATATTTAAAGAATTTGCCACTGACGATTCAAACGCAAGTTTTAAGCAGTGTAGAGTAGCACTTGTTGTTTGTCGTTTCTCCGATCACAAATGCAGACATGGTTTAATGTTTACGCGGCGCGATACGCAACGCAACAGGTAAAAACACAGTACAAGTCATTATAATAAGTAATTATGTCCCCACTGGATGCAACAAATGCCTAATTTGTAATGGGTTTTATTGGTTTTGTCTGGTCCTGCCGGGAGACGGCATCACAATATGTTAAGGGGCGTAACATTTCTGTCACACGCTTGAGGTATTCAGCCAATCACAACGCACTGGATAGCTGGCCAATCAGCGTACACCTCGCTTTTCAGACCAATGAGCTTTGTAAAAATGTACGCGTTTCAGAAAGACAGGGCATAGAGGAGCAACAATAATGTACAGTATGTGGAAAATAATGTGTTTTTTTAGCCTTAAACCGCATAAACACATTTCATTACACCAAATACACAACATAATATTCTTTTTAGCAACGTCATATGACCCCTTTAAAATCTGACTAAAAACACTTCCCTATTTAAAATAGCATTCATTACTGACAAAATAATGTTTATTTAATCTGTCACACCTAATCAAATAGTGATAAATCATTATAACTAATTTTTTTTTTGCTTAAGCATCATGTTCATTTCATAAGGACAATCATTTTTTGAATATATAGTTGTTACAGTCGTTCATGTGATTAGATCTTCTCTTCTCAATGTCTACAATT